CGCTGATCTTCCTACAACTGTTACTGTCACCTTTCAATTCTTTCTCTACACAGCAATCTGACATTCCAGAGTGATCTTAAGAAAAATTAGTTCCGGTTGCTTTCTATTTATTTATTTTTTTTTTTACATTGCTTTCTATTTTAAATCTAACAATGAATTCTCTTTGTTCTTAGGTTAAAATTCAAATTCTCTAACCAGGCTACAAGGTTCTGTGAAATCTGACCCTCATCGTGCTTCCCTCTCACTGACTTTCATAGTCTGGTCCCACTGGTTCTAATCTGCTATACTCTTTCCCACCTTGGAGACTTGCTCATACTGTGCGCTCTGCCGGGAATGATTTTATGCTCACCTTTTTGAAGTCACCTTGATAATTACATCCTTCGTGAACACTTCTCTGACCCTCAGTCCCAGTAGTGTCCCTAGAAAAATCTTCTCTCTACATCCCATAAATATCCTTTGTAATGAAATGTTTTATCATGAACTGAATGGAATAGAGTATGATATTAACTTTTTCTTAATAAACCTCTATATTGTTTGATTTGTTGCCACAAGCATGAATTACATTTGTAATGTTTAAAAGTTATTAAAAAGCATGAGAAACAGCATAATGCTTTTTAAAAGTCATATAGTTGTTTAATGTCTACCTCCTCCCCTAGAATACAGATTCCAAGAAGAGCATATGTTGGGCTTGTCTTATTCACCACTGTGGCCACAGAATCGACCTAAGCTTCAAACACAGGAGGTACTAGATTTATTGAGTGAACACCATTGACTGAGAAGGACAGGACATGAAAACTGAATGGGAGGCTAAGCACTAACCTTGCCCAGAAAGGAGATGGCCCTTAGTCCCATTTAGAGAACATGAGGGGCTGGAACACACCTGGGCCTGTCTGAGTCAACATCTTAGTCAAGAGCATCCTCCCAGCCCAAGACTGGGGCAGGAAGGCTCTTAAACAGTGGACATGTTTGAAGTCTCAAGAGGGAGGCACCATTCATGTGACTAGTTATTGGCATCTGACTAGTTAAAAAATAGGACCTGGGGGAGTCTGAGTGAGCCTTCGCAGGTTTTGCTTCCCCACTCTAGAACCGGATCACCATGGCGACTGGACAGAAGTTGATGAGAGCGATTCGAGTTTTTGAATTTGGTGGACCAGAAGTGCTGAAACTCCAGTCGGATATTGCAGTACCAATTCCAAAAGACCATCAGGTTCTGATCAAAGTCCACGCATGTGGTGTAAACCCAGTGGAAACAT